CGGCCCGGCCCGCTGCCCCCGCGGGGCACGAGGGGACGGACCCCCAGGCCAGGCCGGGTTCAGGGACCACCCTGGTCTGTGCTTAACTAAACGTGTCCATGCGAAAGCGCCCGGTATTCACTGATTTTTATCATGGAAAGTGAGCTGCACAGGAGACTTTGTTTTCCTTTTTAAAGTTTATCTTTATTCCGAACTGCTGTCCTCCCAGCCCAATAAGAAAGTGGAGGAGTTGGAGAGCTGGGGCTGATTTTGCCACTCTTCCTTCTGGTCTTAATTGGAAAAATAAAGGATCAGAATATTTATGAACTTTAAAAATTACTACTTTTGCAAGTGTTGCAAGCCATCCTTTTGATTTGTGTGCCCTCCGTTTGATGTCACGTGTAAACCCAGCCCTTAGTCACTTTGAAACACCCCATTTTTGTGCACGCTGTGAGGCGCAGAGTGTCTCTGCTGGCTGTGGCACCGCGTTGAGGTGCGTTACTTCCCCTGGGGGACTCGTGGAAAGGTCCCCATGGCCAGAAAGGGGGCTGGGAACTGGGGGACACGGTCACTGCTCCCAGTTTCCATCGTTCTGGCGCCCGGGGAGCTGGAGCCGTGCGGGAATGCGTCCCCCGCTCCGCTGTGGAGCAAGGTGGGTCTGTTGTGTTGTGGCGCTAGGAACCCAGCCTGCTATTAGCGGAGGTTCACGGCGGCCTTTTGTGTCCTGCGCTCGGCCCTGCGCGGATAATGTAATGTGGCTGCGGGGCGATGCCGAGCCCTGCCCAGAGCAGGGCTTGGAAACCCTGCGCTTGTTTCGAACCAACTTTTACCCTGCAGCCAGAAGAAATAGTAGAGCTGGATGGTAGAGCAGCCTGTTCGGGGATTAGATGTCTCTTTAGCTCAGATCCGCGATTTCTTTTAAATGAGGATTTTATCGCAGCTAGCGTTGCATGTAATCATTGCACTGCCTGAACTCATTTAGTCCCAAAGGGCAGTTCTCCCATCTTGGCTCTTGCTTCATATCCTTGTTTATCTGTGATTGCAAGGGCTGCCCTAAGGGCACAGCCTCTGGAAGCTGTAGCAGGACAGGGAAGTGTCCCGTGCAGTGTTGCTGTTGAGGTGCTGTGAGGGCAGCACAACTGGGAGCAGCGTTCCTGGGCAGCCCTGCCGGATGGCTGTGAGCTCCCACATGGGAAATACGAAGCAGTTTGTGGGAGTTCAGCATTTATGTCTTACTTTATGGAGGGTGGAAGGTGACTCAATGTTGCAGAGCAGCTAAAATCTTCCCTTCCAGCAGGTTTCTCTAGCACTGCTGTGGGTTTTCTGTTGTTTGTTTTGATTTTTCAATAGCTAAATAAATATTAACGCTGTAAACTCAAGTTTTATGTTCAGTAAAACACTTTATGCTCTTAGCTAATTTGAAGATGTTAATATAGGGCAGCTGTTACCTGTGGAGAGTGAGACTGCTGTGGACTTCATTGGTGACTGTGGAAACGCCACGTGCTTTTGCTATAGTCATTATTCAGATTAGCCCATGATTTTAGTTATTTAATAACTGTGCTTCGGCGGCAGGTGGGCGCTGTGGCCGCGGGGGGCTCCTGCACGCCGGAGGTTGTACAGGCAGGAACCTTTGTCCCCAAAGCGTTTAACTGCATTAAGAATTTGAATTCTGAGCTCATTCTGAGCCTCTGAGATATGATTTGCCTGGTGCGTCTGTGGTATCTCCCCTTGTTGCACATTTCCTTCGCATTTCCCTCACGATTCTCATCTGTAGCGCTCTGAGGACCAGATTTAAAGCCCCTGGAATTAAGTGCGGGGAGCCAGATGCTCCCGGGGCGTTTTGCTGCTTCGGTTGCCTGATCCCGGCTGAAGGAGGGATAAACCACTCTACTGATGAGGAAATAATTCCAGGAATCGGGATTTGCCCAACTGCCTCATGGGACACCAGCAGTCAGAAAGCGAATACGGATCCTCGGTCTGTTGCTGTCGCAGTCAGAGTTGCCGCAATCCTGGATGCTGGATTTCCCTGTTTGTCAGTCATTCCTGTTACTGACAGGAAGAATATCTGCCCGGGGCAGCACGTCAGTGGGCCCAGGACACTGAGACTGCCTGGACTGCCGTTTTCCAGTTGCCGAGTTTGCAATTTAACAAATATTTGCAATTAGGCTCTTAAAGCAACACGGCTATGGAAAAAGTGTTAAAACAGGGATGCTGCCGTAGGGGAAGCGACTACTGGAAAACCTTATGTGGAAATGGCCGTGGTATTTCCACATACCGGAATTGCAGTCAAATTCTTGTTTGGGATGAAGTAAGACCTCTTGGACTTCAGGTGTTATCCCAAGTGCGCATGGATGCTCCTTATCGTGCATTTGTGGTTGGCTTCTGCTTGCAGCTTCAGCTTGATGGTGGCTCCCAATCCGGGCTTGCCCTCGCTAAGCAGGTTGGTGCTGAGCTTGCCTCGAGCTTCAGGAGAGCAGAGCACGGGCACTACCATTGCAGTCTTCAAATGCAGCAAACCGCTTTCTGGAGAAAGTTTTTTCTCTACATTGGATGAAGATATTTCACATTACTGCTGATGTGATATTTGCTGGTGTTCTGCTAACTGAACCCCATGAAGTTTCTGTTTCACAGAGCCTACCAACACCCACCGTGTCCCTGGGAAGGCTCTGGCGTGGGCTGCCGGCCAGCCTCGTGTCAGGGCAGCCTGGGGCTTCTGCTCTTGATCTACGGCTTTAAATATTAAAATGCAAAGTGCTTCTAAAAGCCAGACATTTTTTGGTGATAGTAAATAACTATAATTTGCTTCCTAATAGATAGTTTTGTCCTTGTCACTGGGTCCAATTCAGCGCAGAAATAAATGTGCAATCAGACAGGACTGTTCTGCAAATCTCCTATGGCGAGTGCTTGGCCATGAAAAGCTGCTTGAGAAATAAACTGGAACACGGTGGAAATAAAGCAAACCTTGAGCGTGCGGGTCAGCCTCATGGCTCAGTCGCCAGTGCTTTTCCCTCGGCCTTGGACTAGATGATCCCTTCCAACCTTAACTATTCTGTGATACTGTGATAAGGCACGGATCCTTAAAGGCTGTAGAAGATGTGAGCCACGGGCATGTGCAAGCCCCTAGTATCTCCTGCACCTCCTCTTGTGGCGGTCCTTTCTTTGCAGTCTGTGCAACAAGAATTAGCCTTAGTTTATGTTTTTTTTATTGTAGAATATCTTGCATAAAATAGTCTGTGTACAGAAAACATATATTTATGTTCATGTGTGGTTCATAACTATATTATTTTACAGCTTGTATGTTTAAAAAAAAAAAGGTACCTTTCCTTCCTGGTACTCAAGGTACTGCATGTTTATGCTTCTAAACATTTGTTTTTCTTTTTGAAGCCTCATCTA